CAAAACACGCTTTGGTCTACAAGCAGCCGTGGTCCTGCAGTGCACAGGAAGCTCTAACACAGACCCCAGCCTTAATCTAGTTCTTGTCACCACTGGCGCTGCTGCCCACAGCACAGCATCACTTGGCACAGCTGGCACAGAGGCACAGTCCCCAGGACGGGGATGTGACAGCTAGAAAAATGCCAAAAATAAGCAAGCATGCAAAGCACAAGAGAGTCAGAGGCGCATACTCACTCGCCGTGGGTACAAATTCCAACAGGAATAGCAAGTTATCCCACTATGCATTAACATACGCTTTTACCAAAAGGGAGAGGGACCATTCTTACCAGAGGCCTCCAAGGAAGGAAGAGGTGGTAATGTTCTAGTTATTGGGACTGAGCTCTCCTTTAGTGAGCAAGGAACAGCGCTAAGGAAGAGAAATAGATGCAAGCAGGGAAAAACAGAACGTTAAGGCTGGCTCAGGGGATGCAGTACAGGACTGGGCTGAAATAAAGAGAGCAGGGACGTGGGCTGCACTGTCCGTGCAGAAGCTTTGTGCACACACACACACACACACACACACACACACTCACGCTGCAGCCCACACCGATGCTTTTTTCCCCTAAATCTTTACAATTAACTCCGTGATTTGGATCTGATGGGCAACCGAAAATAACATAATTGCAGACAGCCAACAGCAAATTTAATTAACTGCCTCACATTTCAACTGCTTACGATTCTGTCATTTGCCAGACTTCATGGTGATGAATGCAGATTGACTGGCAAGAAGCCACACTTCAGAAAGTTATGTGCTCAAATAAACAAATATCCCTTAAAACTCGGCAGCCCTGTGACCTAGAATATCTCCTCCAGTTCACAGAGAGAATTTTCTAATTTAAAAAAAATTGTAAATAATATTTAAAAAGAGCAATTAGATGTGAGGATACAGAATTTCTTTAAACAGTGAGGCAACTTAAAGCCTTAGTCATTAGAAAAACTATACAGTCATTCCCTACCCGTATGACACCAAAGTCTGCCATGTAGCCTATTATTTAATTTCTCATCTGAGGTTATATCAGTCATGCTTATAAACCAGTCTATCAACATTACCAGTAAGAGATTACCTCATTTCTGAAACAGTATGTACTTAACTTATATTTAATGCAGTTAACAGCCTTTAGGGGAATGACAGAAAAAAAACCAACAACCAAGTGCATAAACTACAAGTATTCTGGTTTAAAAAGCTGCTTGAATTAAGAAGCAGCTTCTAGTGCATCTTCAAAACCATCCAAGCAAAATATATTTATATGTAAGAATGAGACAGCTGTTTAGGATGAAATTGGTTAGGTGAACTGGACAAGGAGAGGAAAAGCAACCTTGCCCAGCCCATAAACACCATATTCAAACCAGAAGCTACTATCAGAGTGTATAGTCAGTGAACAATTACAAAATACCTTAAAATACCCTTCAAAGAGAAGGCAGGCTTCATCTCCCATTCCAAGAGAACACATGGAAAAAGGGTCAATTCTTCTTATGTGATAACTTTCTTCCTACTCCTAGAGTCTGCAAGTGGCCTTTATCAGAAAAAAGCAAAGCTTCTGGAGTACAGGTATACACCAGATTTGACTCTGCTCACCCACACTAGCAAGTAAATAATGAAGCCACACTCTGTCTGCCACAGTACCCCTTGGCCTGATAGATTTGGGCAGGAACCTACAGAAACACCTTTGGGCTGGTGAGTCTGAGCAGGACTGTCGCTGAGCATCCCAAAATTGTGTCCCAGGACCAGCGCTGTGCGGCGGGGGACACCATGCCTGCACCCCTCTGCTGCTCTGCACAAACCTGTTTAAGACTTTAAAGCTTCAAACTACAGCAGCATAAGGGAAAGTCTTTAGCACATAATTAGGGCAGCCGTCAGTAGGTGTTGTCTCTAACCTCCACCCCATGCTCACACCAAAGCCTGTGCTGAGCTCAGCTGTGCCAGCAAGGCAGGATGCAGAACACCCTGAACGTGCTTCAGCTGCACAGTTTACATCCACGAAGAGTTTGCTGCTTTGTTTTTCCAACCAATACTTTGCTGGGTTATTTTTGGAATACGTTTTCCATCAGGAATAAGATGACACAGAGATATCCATTCAGAGGCTCAACCCTAATCGGTCTGCAGGAACAACAGCGAGCTCGCAGTACGGCTTCCAGGGGACCTGGACTGCCCTGGGCCATCAGAGCGTGGTCACTCTTCACTGGCCAGGAAGGTGTGCGTGGCAGGGAGCCCCACGGTCAGTGCTCTGAGCAGGAAGCAGCAAGCCTGTTTGGGATTTGTTAAAAAGAAGCAGCGCTGACTTGAAAAGCAGAAGAGATGGGATGGGATGTTGCTGGTCTTGTCACCCGTGCTGCGTCTGGAAGGGACAGCAGAGCCCAGGCACCGAGCAGCCAGGCTGCTGCAGGGTTGTGCCAGGACTGGGGAGGTCTGCAGACCACGCAGGTGAGCTGCAGGGCAAGCGTGGGAGCAGAGCTGATCCTGTCAAACCCCAAGGGGCAGAGGTGAGTCCATCAGAGACAGGGGACACTACCACACTCCCTGGGGTGGTAAGAAACACGCCTGTCCAGGCAGAGCCTCCTGTGCCAGGGCTTCAGCCACGTCTGGTCTGAGGGATCACAGTCCATCCTCGGCAGCAGTTCTCACTGTAAAACGATGGGCTAAACCCCAAGATTCAGTGGATTCTGTAACAGTACCCAAGAAACAAGACACGACCCACAAGGAGGGAGGAAAGTGGATTTTGATCCACACTGAACTGGGGCTCGAGAGCCGTAAGGGTGTTGTGGATGGTCTGTCTCTGCTGAGTGGAAAGCTCAGGACGCAGAGGGAGAGTCCCGAGGGCAACCGAGGCAGAGGTGCCCTGCAGCAGGGAGATTTCTCACCAGTGTCAGCAAACACCCATCCATGTGCTGGTGTAAAACAAGAGACAGACCCTTTGGAGAGCGTCTGGGCTGTCTGTGCATGAATATGCACTCACAGGTACTGCCTGGTGCGAGGTTTTTATGGGCTCTTAGTGACAACATCCACCTAAAAGGAGGGATGCAGAGGTGGGAAAAGGCAGGAGACTTTTTCGACAGGATTTAGAGCAAATCCCCTTGGGACTGCAGCGTTCCCCAGGGTGACAGCATGGGAACACCAGAGTCAGTGCCCACACGGCCTTGAACCTCAGGTAACACAACTGATGCTTCACTGACTTCCCTGGGCTGAGGAGAGCCTGAGAGCAGGGAGCTTTCCAGGGACCAGGGCTAGGAATTACACAGACTTAAAAGGAACTCTAAAAAGCAGGGAAATAAGCATCTTATTTGCATAAGAAGATAGATATGCATCTTTTCATAAAATCACATATTCTTTTGATCTCAGTGCCTCGTGGGCAAAAAAAGGATAGCTGCAAATTATAAACAGCATCAAAAAGCAATATGCTGCTTCTCAGTCCAAGAGAAAACAAAATATCTAAAATACAATCTCATTACGGACCCCAGTTATTATCAGAGCAAACAATGCCAGACAAGAAGCCAAACCAATAAAAAGCTTAAAATACCAGAATTAAAATTTTTACTGACACTTTAAAATGTAATTTTTTGCTTCACTGCCATCTAGTGACAATGCAACACAGTTTGTAACAGTGATAATCACACAGAACAAGTTCAGATCTGCCAAAGGGCTTCAGTAATATCATCATCTGCTCATTCCCACATGAGAGGCAGTCAGGTCTAGTGTACTGCCGAGCTCTGAACTATTTTGCTAGCTTTCCTATCAAAACTTGTAAACAAAGTGAAGCAGGGAAAAAATAACACATCTGCATATTGCAAGAGTAAAGCAATAATCTGGAATGTGGTCTTACGAATCGGTACTGTCAGCGTTTCTTTGAACAATGTCAAAACATTATAATGCCACCATGGCACAAACTAGACTCTGCAGTTTCTCAGTACTCCCTGCGGCTCCTCAAGCACTTCATTCAAAACCAGGAGAAAGGAACAGGAAATTACAATTTCCACCCTGATTTGTTGGACACATTACAAAGTTATACACACATGTCTCATAATTACATATTAAACTTTTTTACTTCAAGAAGTGAGAGATGATAAACTTAAAAAAAAAATAATAATAATCCCACTCTCGGGCATCTGTCACTGAAATGTCCAAGGTCAAAACCAAAGATGATGTCCAAGCACAAGACATCGGGAATAAGGTCAAGGGCCTTTTCCAAGGAGTCAGAAAGCAGCTGCAGCAGCAGATCATAACAAAAGCAAAAGCCATTAAACCAGCATGTTCTGGCAGTGAGGAGACAAACTTCACCTACTGCAGTAAGTGGGATGGTGTGTTTGCAAACACATCAACCTATTTTTAAAGCTGGTGTAGAAATACCCGCCTAGAGACTATCAAATCCAGCACCAAGTTAAGAAAAGAACATTCCTGGCCGGGCTGTTTGGGGGTCACTAGTGACAGTCCAGGTTTTTGCAAAAGTTCAGTCCAAAGAAATCAAAATAAGGAAGAAAAGTTTTTAAAAGTTGAAATCCAGTATATTTTTACCAAAGTTAACAAACTTGAAAATTTGCTGGGACAAAAAAAAACACAAAAAAACCCCAAACAAACCAAAAAAACAAAACCCACAAGACCATGCAGCTAAGGACAACAACAAACAAGTCAGCAGACACTGGCAGGGATCCCTGCAGCGGTGCAGCGGGTGCCCAGCTGTGGGTGAAGGTGTGGCAACAAAGATCTCGATAGCAGAACCGCTGTGTGGCATCCAGAGATCTGCCATCAGCACGGCTCAGCCCTTCCCTTGGGAATGCTGCTCATCTCACAAAGCTCCTCCCCATGCCAGGGAGAGGAAGGCGAGGTCTTCGGTTTTGCTTTTGTTTTAATTCCAGTTTATTTTCCCCAGAATGTAAAGCTGGCCCAGCCAATGCCACATCCTGGATCCACAGCTGCCAGTGGGACTCCTGAAAAGCATTTCAGCTGAAAACCTACAGCAATGCAAATGATGGGGTACAACTTGTCTTATGGAAAACTGCCAGGTAAAATAACGTTGGTAATGTAAGCGATTGAGCAGTGTTCACGGCGTTACTATCAGTTCCTACCAACGTTTTAAAGAAGTCAGTCATTTCCAACAAGGCTGTCTAAATACTGCCAAGTGCTGCCCCTGTGCTGTCAGTCCTGGTTTACCACACCAGCCAAGTTCAGAGCACAAACAGTATGAGAAAATGTGCTATAATTTTATAAGAGAATTTATAAGTCTGAAGTTTTTCACAAACATTTACACATGAAATCTTAAAATCCCTAGAGACTGGGATTTTTAATATATTTAACCATGGCAGGCGGGTTACGGGAACTCAAACCCTTCACAAATTTCACTCCCCGGATTCACTCACTCTCTCCATGGAGGATTTCCAGGATATTTATCTTCTTCAAATCCTGCCCAAACACTGACCTGCACCCTCCGTGCCGCACGGCTGCCCCCACCCCAGCACTGCTCCCGCCTTGCGGGGCTCACCGAGCGCTGTGGGAACATCCTGAGCACACACACACCGGCACCCCGCATTTTTTTTTCTTGTCAAACCAATTGCAGAAGCACCTTTATATTTCAGCAGCAAGCACAGACATGCTCAGAGACTAGCAAGCCACAGACACATTTATTTTGACACATGCAATACTCAGGAGCACTGTTTTAAACTTAGGTTTCCCCGGACGGTTATTCCAAGCAGCCTCTGGAATTGCCCAAAAATAGGATGTTTTCTAGAGGACAGTTCTAAACCGGCCCCATTTGTACAACACTAGGAACACGCTTTAAACTTGTTGCTTTCCCTTATTCCCACAGATGATCGTCTGAGCCAAGACAACAGCACCGCGCCCAACTCCACCGCAGGCTCGCCCGGGAACTCCACACACAACGAATTCACCACCATCGTCTTGCCTGTGCTTTACCTCATCATCTTCCTGGCGAGCATCCTGCTGATTGGCCTAGCAGTGTGGATTTTTTTTCACATCAGAAATAAAACAAGTTTTATATTTTACCTCAAAAACATTGTGGTTGCAGACCTCCTCATGACACTGACGTTCCCATTCAAGATAATCCAGGACTCCCAGCTGGGGCCGTGGCACTTCAACTCCTTCCTGTGCCGATACACCACGGTTCTGTTCTACACAAACATGTACACCACGATTGTGTTCCTGGGACTCATCAGCATCGACCGCTACCTGAAAGTAGTGAAGCCTTTTGGAGACTCCAGGATGTACAGCATCACCTTCACCAAGATCCTGTCTGCCTGCGTCTGGGTTGTGATGGCCTTCCTGGCCTTACCAAACCTGATCCTGACAAACGGCTACCCAACCAAGAGAAACATAGACGACTGCCTCAAGCTGAAGTCCCCCTTGGGCGTCAAGTGGCACACAGCAGTCATTTACATCAACACCTGCATGTTTGTAGTGGTGCTGATAGTACTGATAGGATGTTATATTGCCATATCCAGGTACATTTACAAATCGAGCAAACAATTCATTAGCTCGTCAAGCAGGAAGCGAAAGCACAATCAGAGTATCAGGGTGGTTGTGGCCGTATTTTTCACTTGCTTTCTGCCATACCATTTGTGCAGAATACCCTTCACTTTTAGCCATCTAGATAAAATTTTAGATGACTCTGCACATAAAATCTTGTATTACTGTAAGGAAATGACACTGTTCCTGTCTGCATGTAATGTCTGCCTGGATCCAATCATTTACTTTTTCATGTGTAGATCATTCTCACGAAGGCTGTTCAGAAAGTCAAATATGAGAACCCGGAGTGAGAGCATTCGATCACTTCAGAGCGTCAGAAGATCAGAAGTGCGCATATACCATGAATACACCGATGTCTGAAATCACCCACACAGAGACTTTTGCTAATTTCTGAGAGTGTTTGTATATGGTGTAAATAAAACCTATCTTTGAGTATCTGACCATGGAAGTTCATTAAGGAATGCACAGGCACGTACAGCTTTTCCGCTTCAGCTGACTAAAGTCCAGCTCAAAATCCCACAGCTTAAATCCACGCAGAGATCGGGTTCACTTCAGAGGGGGTTGGGGGTTGTGTTGGTTGGTTGGTTGTTTTTTTTGAAGGCTAAGAGAAGCTAAGGACGCCTTAGGACTCCTAAGAACTCCAGGAGGTTCCAACCGAGACGGACAAGATCTGGCCTCGGAGCAGGATCCAAGGAGAGAAGCCAACAGCCCCGAGGTCTGGTGCAGGGCTGCTGAAGGGCTTGCAGCAGGGGAGGAGAAGGGAGGAGCGGGCATGAGCTCCAGCAGAGACCCGTCGGCGTGCCCATGGGTAGGGCAGTGCCAGCTCCTGCAGAAACGGTGCTTTGCTGCCAGCCAACAGCGTCTCGGCTCTTCCTCTGGCGTTTGTGGTGCTGGCAGCACCATCTCATCCACAGATCAAACCTGCCAAAGTACTACTCACCTCTCTCAAAACAGGAAACATAAAAAATTCAAACATCACCCTAGTTTAAGTCTCTTCTGAAAAAAAAATTTAAAAAATAAAAAAAAGGAAAGAAAGACTGTTAAAACAGCTTTTAATTCCCACAATAGCGTTCTAAGTGAGGACACAACAAAAAGTCCCTTGAGAGACTCGCATGTGACAAGACTGAGCAATCAACATCCACCTGAAAATTCAGTTTCCCAGCACTTTCTATGCCTGCTTAATACAACAGGAATAAAACTTAAGCAATGGGAATTTTTTGTTCAAAATTATTTATAACTTAGGCTGCTTTCAACTCTTGGAAAGAATTGTGTGCGATAAGCAGGTGAAATTTGGTTTTGGAGAGCAGCTCAGGCAACACCTTCAGGGTATTATTTTACACAGTGGTGGTACATACAACCAGAGCAGAGGAAACATGAAAGGAGAGCATCCAAAATCAAGGCAAGAAGAAAGGAATAATAAAAGACCAACGCAGCAGCTGCTGCCTGAGAAAGCGCTGGCTAACAACTGCATTATTTAAAAGAAGAAATCAAGAGAGGAGAGACCGGGCCACTCCAGGCTGCCAGGGTGTGTTTGTATTGAATCCTGTAAACTTTGTCCTGTACTTCACCACAGATTAAATCAGATTTGTTTAGAGTAAAAGCTGCTTGTACAAAAATAAGCAGCCAACTTAAAAGATGTAGATTGTAAGGAGCTGACGTGTGTTTTGAGCAATTAATTTTTATGCATCTCTTATGCATTGTAGTGCAATTGAACAAACAGAAGATGGCAACAGTCCATCATCAAGTGCCTTATTCATATAAGGACTTTCCTTTTAATATTAAAAAATGGTTTGACAAGAAAATCCAGAAAATGCAGCATTCAAATAATAAGATAAAATACTGCACAAGAACATCTTTGATGAAATTTCCTACTGAAACAAAGTGGGCTTTTTCCTTTTTTTTCTTTATCACCATTAGTTTAGTTTTAGATTCTTTTTTATGCACAATGAAAAAGCTGAAGTGTAAGTATAATAATATTTGGATTATATATTTGCATTAATGCAAGTGTTATAAAATTACTTATATTGTTCAGGGGAAATTACTTCTGGAAAGGAAGAGAGGATACTTGGGATATTTCTACTACTTTAAATACAAATAATTTTAACGGTTAACACCACAGAATAAGCCCCATTTTCCAATCAGCTCTGTAGAAAACTATGTTCACGCCCAACCTCAAAGACTAGTTCTGGGATCAGATCTGCCATTTTGTACCCTTAGGGGTCGATGCACATACAAAACCATATCAAGAGTCATTTTGGGGTCTGGGTTGCACGGTTTCTATCTCATAAGCACCAAATTAAATGGAACAGCGTACTAGGTTGGTTTTGGGCAACAGTAACATTTAGGACTGCAAGATCAGTTATATACACACAGACGTTAATAACCAAAGACTCTCTTATTAGCGCTTATATGGTTAAAGAAAACCAAGACCAAGTGCTTCTGGTCTCCCTTTTCCGACACAAGTAATCATAGATCACCTAGACTGAAGGCTGCTCAACCACAGCCAGGCTACGTGTTTCCACCAGGCTCCCCGATCCCTGGTTTCATCCAGGTTCTTCCATGCCCAGCAGTGCTCCAGCTCCTCCTCACCACAAACACCAGACGGCAACTCCATGCTCCACACGCTTCGCTGAGCTAACTCCTGCCAGAAGCAGATCACAGAACAAGCACACACCTCCTAGGGTTAAATCAATATCCTCACTACTAGACAAGATTTTAAATGCATAGTATAGCGGAGTGTTTCTATGTATAATGTATGCACACATACACACACTCTATAGGATTCATCATACATATGCAAAGCAAGAAGGCTTGGACCTCTCAGAACCGTAACCTTTTTCCAGGTGGATGGAGGACTTCCTACCCAACCCCAGCAAAGCCCAAAGAGCTGCTTCAGTGGAAACACCCCTGTTTGTCCCCAAGCAGGGACACAAAGGACAGCGGGGAGATCACAGACCAGGTGTGCAGGATTCAGGATTCTCCCCTCAAACACCAAATGGTGAAGCTCAGTGATGGCTGAAAACATGACCAGGGGAGCTGGCTGCCACATAGCCACGCTGCCTCGCAGGGAGAGCTCAAAGGCAGCTCCCCCTGCCACACAGCCTCACAGGGAGCTCAAAGGCAGCTCTCCCTGCCATGCAGCCTCACAGCCTCGCAGGGAGCTCAACAGGTGCCCCCACGCCCTGCCACCCTGCCATGCAGCCTCACAGGGAGCTCAAAGGCAGCTCCCCTACGCTCTCCTATTTATGGGATAACGCAGTTGGCTCGCGGTCAAATTGCACGCAACGGGAAAGGTATGCATGAGACTCCTTGTACCCACAACTTTCTTTGATCTTTGATAAATGAGCCTTGGAAAGGCCATCCCGCTATTCAGGTATTGACGCATGATCGGTGACCCAAGCTCACACGCATCGATGCTCACTGTGTCACTCTACTCCTTTGTGGGTTTCCAGAAAACAGACTGAAACTGGAGGAGTTTGTGGCCCAGCTATGCCTCAGACCTGACCTCCTCTGATGGACACCTACATCTCTTCTAGCGTGCTGCACACTCTCCTTACAGGATGCATGTCCACGCATACCACACTTTCTCACTGACCACTTATTTTTTAACTAAAGGCTGCATTTACAGAGGATTTCCTCCTAGGAGAAACAGTACTGCTGTTCCCTAGTAAGAATTTCATACCAAAAAATATATTACCCAAAGCAACTACATGCAGGGTGATGCCCTTCAAAGAATGGCCTGAAGACACCCTTTCCAGGGAACTAAGGAGCTAAAGCAAGCAGCAGTTTCTGGGAAGCGTGGTCCCACGAGGGAGCAGTGGGGCATCCATGTGAAATCCCACACTGGGAAGGGAACACACAGCCGCGCTCTCCCAGCACACAGGCCAGCCAGGACGAGTCTCTGCTCTGAAGCCAAATGACATGGATGCACGCAACACTTCACTGTAAAATCACGCCCAAAATAAGTTTACTTTATCTTGACAGGATGTATCTGTGATAATCCTTTATCACTGGTTTATATACGCACTTACATATACAACAGTTCTTTGAAGATGTTGTTTGTGAAATATTTTCCCAGGGCTAAAAGTGAATTATAAAATAATATCCTGATCTCCAAATACCAGATAACCATATTTAATTTGTCTGGATTTGACATGGAATTCTATTCCTTAAAAGTTCTTCTTGAAACAAGAAGGTACAAGGAAGTTCATAGGAAAAGGCTCAGGCCCTGACCTGGTGCTCCCATTTCAGAGAATCCCATCAGGACAGAAGCGTATGTAAATTTTGGTTGTGCAGTCCGAGATCCCATTTTTTACTGGACACTAGATGTGAAAGATGGTTTTTCAAATGGAGGTGTGACAGCAGGTCAGACCCAAGAATGCAGGGAGCACACAATTCATGAACATTTGTGGAGTTTTTTCATTTAGGAGGCTTTGCAAGGCATGATAACTGAGCAGCTCAGCCAGACCTCTGCACGCCACAGGGTTATTGTGGAAGAAATGTTATTTGAACGTGTACGTAGAGACAGCTCCAGAGCGATACCTCTGCAAGACTTTTGTCACCACATACATCATGCACTTTACTTTTGAGGTTTCTCTAGCAGTAGCCTTTACTGTGGCTTTCCACCAGTACAGCTTCCTAGCCACCTTAAAAAAGGAAACTAAAACCCCAAAAGTTCTAAAAATGTATCCCTGGATTGACACACACCATGATCTCACGAATTAAGTAACCACAGTTGCATAACTAGTGCAACCATGACCAGGCTGATCCAAGTGTGCGTCAGCCCCACTCCTCCACTCTCCTCACTGGACCCCATGCCACCCCGAGAGGTGTGAGCGACAGCAGTGCCATCTGAGTGCGGCCAAAGACCTGATGACTGAGTTTCAGACAGATCCTTGTAAGGCCTCAGAAGGCGATCCAATGACGATGCATAGACATCTACCCGCCAGCAACACAAAACTAGGCAGAAAGTGTTTGCTGGCAGCTTTGACAGGGTCAAAAACAAAATCCAGAAGTCCTGCAATACTTTTGTAATTAGCATGCCTTCTAGTAGGATTATTCTATAAAAATATTTATCTTGTTCATCCTGTTTTTATCAATTCAGAGCTTGGTCACAGATATAATACAATCCATGTGTTATCACCTTTATTAGGGCTGGAAGCACTGACTACCTCATTAGAAGGTTTTGATAATGGGGCACAGACCTATAAGAAGATTAGTAGACAGATATTGCTCATATATGGCAGTGGTTTGGTGGCATAAGATCCTCCACTGAGAAAAACAGAAGTCTGAACCCACCAGCCCCATTCCTGTTAGTAATGGCTTCAGAGCTGCCACCCCACCTTGCATTTCTGTCACCAGACACGTGAAGAACCAAATCACCACCACCAGCCCCTTCAGTCACCAGACAGGCTCTGATACACCGCCAGTG